GGGGGGGGGGGGGGGGGGGGCAGATTTGATGGCTCGAATCCTCGAGGGGCTCCCGTTTTTACATTTTATGCTGCCACCTCCAGCTTGGCTTCATATTGCACCAGGGCAAAAGCAATGAGCCAGAGGTGGAGGGGCACGACTAGGCTGGTCTATCCGGCCACCTACCCAGTCGTATTCGATCCCCAAGCATACTTGGTACCAGCGCCACTGCACCGCACAATCCATTCTTCCGCACCTCGTTCACTCCTACGACTGATACCAAAGGCGTCTATTAAGGCTAAATCAATGGCCTGTATGTATGTACATATATTGGCCGTGACCTTTAACGTTATTTATGTGTGTAATTGAATATTGCAAGGATGTCTCGGATCTGTTATCATTTTCTGAGTCCAGCTGTCCATCATTTTTTAGTTGGCAAGTCTACGTGTGCTCTTTCGGGCGTACATCTCGATTGCGAACTCAAAAACCCAACGCTTGGCTGAGGTTCCCTTGATGGAATCTACATCCGAAGCCGATCACACAGGAACTTGTTCATGGACACGGTACCGAAGAAGATTACCAAATATGTAATGACTGTGTAGTTCTGCCCTAACAGAGCCGGTTTGGTGAAGCGTAGCTGTTCCGCGTCAGATGCACCGAAAGAAGAACGAGGTGCTGCCTTCCACGGCCCATGGCCCGTCCATTGGCACGACCGAGAAGTCGCTCGATGAAACACTGTGCATCTCGAAAGATGGCACTGACTAAAAACGAGTCCGCCAGGCCAATACGACCTCCTACACCAAAACCTGTGTGGAACCGAATAGCATTTAACGGAATAACCGAATATCAGTGGAGGATAAACGGCTACTGTGTTAGGATTTCGCAGAGCAACTACTCCGTTGTTTTGTTTCTCGTCTACAGATGCTTTTTTCGTGGGAGACAAGACGAGATCTCCGAATGAAATCGGAAACTTTCCGTTATCGATTCTTCTGATGAAAGCGTCGAAGACACATGGAACAGCGTTGGGCTGCTCATTGGTTCCGGTCTCGACGATGATCCCGAGGTTGCTTGAGAGCGAACGACATCCGCAAATGGCATTCGATTCCACACAAGTTTAGAGGTCGTATCGGCGTTCACGGAGTGAACGAGGTGCGGAAGAATGCATTGTGCGATGC